CCATCTCCTGGCCCCAAACGTGGTCCCTTGGTGAAGAAATTAACTGCAGCAAGAATGCCAGAGTAGTTCTTTAGCATTGACTGCATGCACAGCCCTCTGCATTCCTGGGGGGGAAAAAAATATAACACACAAAGTGCAGGCCAACCTACGATACTGAGGGATAGGAGACAGCGGTGTGTGCTGCCTTATATACTGTGAGGTCCGCACGTATTCAGGTAAGCACGACCTGATTGGCTGGCTACACTCTTGCAAATTATCAGTGGGCAAATGTGTGCTCGTGGTTGGAGGGGATTATTACGCATAGAGTCCATTGGAGGGCTTCACCTGTGTATTCTGTGGATATTTTCTTTCTCATACTTGACGCAAAGGCCCGATCCTAATCTTCTCACGGACTCACAGGCTTTGATGCGCGTCCCTGCAAAGTCCATGAGGGCTTAGGGCTGTCCTGCTGTCAAATCGTTGAGTGTTTTAGTGCTCTCTCGCAGACATTGTGAGCCCTCTTGTGAAGACTTTCCATAAGTCCGCATTTCTGCAGACTTGGCCTGAGAGAAATACCCACAATTTATAGGGTTGTGACGTTAAATAAGAATTAACAAAGGGAAGCCCGGAGGTGTATTAAAAATAAGCTAACGGCACATGGGTGTTCAGCCAGGTATATGAAATTTACACAGAAACGTTAAGGATTTGAGAAGGACATAAAAACATGTGAAATCCAAGGAATGCAATCAGAGACTTTATTACACACCTGCTTTATTCATCAACCAATTCTTTTAACTTTGCCTTTTAAAGCAGTTTTGACAAAAACAACTCGTAAATACATTATTTGACAGTCACTTCTCTACTTATAAGTGAAAGGGGCTGAGGTCCAGGGTAGTTAGAGGAATCTACATTCCAGCAGAACTACCTCTGCCTCTGATTGCTGTGCTGCCACTACACTATTTTCTGTGTCCTCCGCACCGTCCTGTTACAGTAAGGAAATAGCCTGGAATATGCTCAAATCAGGCAGTTAGCCCCCCCCCCCCCCCACCCCCCCCCACCCCCCCCCCCCACCCCCCCCCCCCCCACACC